TGTTTCTGTTTCTTTAAGCTGCACTTATATTATCAATCTGAGATCTTTTTTAACATCGACATTTACAATTGTACATTTCTTTCTGTATACTTTTTCTTCTTTCTATGAATATTGCTATGTTGTGTTTTTATTTTCAATCATCTCAAAGTATTTTCTATTTTCTTCTAGGATTTATTCATAGATTAATTTGTTGTTTAAGAATTTGTTCAATTTTCACTTATTTGTGAGTTTTCCAATTTTCCTTATGTTATTGAATGTAGCTAGCATGAATGCCTACTACAGACTCACTTCAGATTCAAAAACAAAAACAGATTTCAAGGCCAAAGGATGAAAAATATATCTTTTTAAAATACAAGATATTTGTAGAATTTAAATATTTTTAAATTTATTGAGAATTATTTTGTTGCATAACATGATCGATCTTGGAGAATGTTCATATGCATTTGAAAATATATATTCTGCTTTTTTTAGGTGGAGTGTATTCTATATGTCCGTTAGGTCCAGTTAGTTTACACTATTGTTCAAGTTCACTATTGCCTTATTGATCTCTTACCTAGATGGTCTGGCTATTATTTCAAGTGAAATAGTGAAATCTTTAGCTGTTTCTATAAAAATGTCTATTTCTCCTTTCAATTCAGTCAATATCTGCTTATATCTTGAGGTTCTGTGGAACGATGCATATATGTTTATAGTTATTAAGTATTCTTGATAAATTGACTCTATTATCAATATTTAATATCTCTTGGTCTCATAAAAATTTTTGACTTAACATGCATTTATTCTGATGTCAGTATCAGCCATCCCCATTCTCTTTGGCTGCTATTTGCAAGGAGGCATATTTGTTAAACTTTGATCTTGAAATCTTGAAACACAAAAACCTGCTTCTGTGTTTGAATCTGAAGTGAGTCTCTAATAGGGCAGAATATAATTAGATCACGAGTTTGGGCTTTTAAAAAATCTATTTTGCCAATCTCTGTATTTTAATTGGCAAATTTAGCTCATTTATATTTGAATTGATTACTGGTAAGGAAAGAATTACTTCTGTCATGTTGGTGTTTGTTTTCTATGAGATTTGTTCCTCAATTCTTTTATTATCTCTTAGTTTTGTTTTTAATAGACTTTTATAAGTATACCATTTTGTTTTTCTCCTAACTTTTTTTCTGAATTTTTAAAAGTTATTATCTTAGTTGTTATTCTGGTGATTACAATTACCACCCTAAATTTATAACGATGTGGTTTGAGTTGATAACAACTTCATTTCTCTATGTTGTTATTTTCACAAAATATACGCTTATATATTATAAGCTGTTAACAATTAATAATTATTATTTTATGTATTTGTCTTTAAAATAGTATAGGAGACAAAAAGAGAAGTTAAAAACTAAAAATACACTTACAATGGCTTTTACATTTACCTATGTATGTACCTTTACTTGTGTTCTTTATTTCTTCATATGTCTTTCAGTTTCCAGCTGATTTTTTTTTTTTTCAATCTCCTTTAGCGTTTCTTATAGGGTAAGTCTGCTACGAATGCACTCCCTCAGCTTTTCTTTATCTGCGAATATCTTAATTTTTCTCTACATTTTAGGGATTTTTTTTCCTACATATAGATTACATGGTAGACAGTTTTATTCATTAGTACTTTAAATATGTAATTCCCCGGCCTTCTGCCCTCCATAGTTTTCGATGACAAATCAGCTATTAAGCTTATTGAGCATATTTTATATTTGATGAATTGCCTCCCTTGCTGCTTTCAAGATGTGCTCCTTGTCATTATTTTTATATTTTTTTAATTTTAACATATTGTTTTGATTTAGGGGCCAGACAAGGCAGCATTTGGCAAGTTAAGAAAGGCACCTCATTGAAAATAGTACCTCACAGTGCTGTCGAGTGAGCCCAGTTACAGGATTTGAGAATAGAAAGGACAATCTTTGGATGATATAACTTAGGACACTTGTTTATTTATTTAAGAGGGTCCCTTCACACAGTGCAGATAAAAGAAGGCAGGTGCATAGGATTGTGGCATGTGTTGGGTCATGGTGAGAGGTTACTCCTGAGACTAGGTAGCCTGGTAAATCAGTGGTAAGTCAGGGGAAGGGAATCAGCCTCCCTTTCCATTCCATTCCCTTCTCTCTCTCCTTCATTTCAGTAAACTTGATTTATTGAGCCACCATCCAGGTGAATCCACCTTGTATCTCTTTCAAATGTGGAGATCATTTTTTATCTTGTAGCATGTGGAGCCAAGGTCAGTATCAAAGCGTCCTTGCTCCAAGCTGTAGGACAGAACAATTTGATTTCCTGTACTCTTGGTCTAGAACCCACGGAGTTCTGAGATAAAAACTGAGGTCTTAGAGCACTGGCTTTAAAAAACACTATCACCAGTCCAGAGTAAATGAAAACCCCATTCCCTAGAAATAATACTGTATCTCTCTATTTCTACCCCCACCCTCCAAGCATGGTATTTTTTAAAAATTTAATTTTTCCCTTACACTTTAAAAACTCCCACCTATGTATAAAACAAACTGCCTCACTACAATAACACTGCTGTTCTTCCAAGTATTCCTCTTGAGCCACTCACCAGCCCTCCCTCACCATCCTCACCCTGACCACCCTTCCCCTTCTGCCCTGCACCTAAGAGCAGGGATCACGCTGTGGGTGATGAGCAATGGTGCAGTCTCACCTGGTCTTCTGATATTAGGATGTGGCTTTGGAGAAGGCTGCTAGGATGCATGTGAACACTACAGCAGGGGACTGGGATGCATTGATGGCAGAGAGGACCCCCCAATTCCTGTAGTACTCCATGAGTGGGGCGGTTTGAGTGTGGCAGGCTTGCAGGCAGATTTTCAAGGCTTTCTCATTATCATTTGATCAATGAATCAAGGGTTCCTTGGTGATGTTATCTTTCATGGGCTCCTTTGAGGGGTTGAAATCTTCATGGTAGGAATGGCCACTCTTGGGGTGAATCAGCCTTCTTATGATTCTTCGGATCAGCAGAGAGTCCAGGATGCTGAATTCAATCACAGAATCAAGTTTCTCTTTCCTCTTCTCCATGAGGTCTTCAAGCATTTCTGCCTGCCTCTCAGCACAAGGGAAGCCATCCAGAAGAAAACCACTTCTGCACCATCTCCAAATTCTTCTAAATGAGATCCACCACCATTTCATCACTCACTAGTTTCTCAGTATCCATAGCTGTCTTCAGCATTTTTTCCTAGCTCTGAGCCAGAAGCCACCATGGCCCTGAGCATGTCCCCAGTAGCCAAATGGTAGACATAGAAGTTTTCAGACAATCTGGGTGCCTGGGTGCCTGGGTTCCTTTACGAGCCCCAGCAGCATGGCCCAGATGCCTTTAGGATACTTGGGTTCTGCCGCTGGCACACTGGGAGCCATGTCTGCCGAAGTCTCTCACTGCCACCCACTCACACACCTCAACGTCCAGTGCTTCCCAGGCCATCCGTCATTATGTTTTAATAGCTTGATTTTAATAAGTCTTGATAGAAATCTTTTTGTATTTACCTTCCTTGGAGTTTACTGAATTTTTTTAGATGTATAAATTTATGGCTTTCTTCAACATTGGAAAGAGTTTGGCCATTGTTTCTCCAAATATTCTTTTTTTCAGATTTTCTCTCGCTTCTCCTGTGACTCTCATAATGCATATGTTCATCTGCTTAATGTATCCTGGGGGGGGAGGTCTCTTATAATCTGTTCACTTTTCTTTATTCTTTTTTATTTTAACTTTATTTTCAGAGCCATTTTAGAGTCACAGAAGAATTGAGAGGAAGGTACAGAGATATCTCATATTTCCTACAGATGCATATCCTCCCCCATTATCAAAATTCCCCACCAGGGTGGTACATTTGTTACAACTGATAAACCTGCACTAATATATGATTATCACGCAGAGTCCATGGCTTACATTAGGGGTCACCTTAGTGTTGTACTTTCTACAGGTTAGCACAAATATATAATGGCATGTATCCATCATTGTCGTATCAGAGTATTTTCACTGCCCTAAAAACTCTCTGTGCTTCACTCTAACTACTTACCCCTTTCACCTCCTTATTCCCTGGAAATGACTGTTTTTAAAAAAATGTCTCTATAATATTAACTTTTCTAGAGTGCCCTGTAGTTGGAATTGCATGATATGTAACATTTTCCCAGTCTCTAGACTTAGGACACACCCTTTACTCCAGTAGTCACATAACACACCCATGAGACATTCAGGGAATGTAAAGCATGAATTTACAGGTAAGGAGTGTTTCTGCTCTCTTAATGGGTTTTGATGTCCAAACGCACCTACATTGTAGTCGTCCCCCACATGCCTCCTCACTCATGGCTACTGTCTTCTCTCTGTCCCTTTCATCTCACCCTTGAGCCCAGAGGCCTCCTTGTCACTCCGCAAGTGACTTTCCACTAACGGAGGCAAATTACCAGTGAACTGCACAGAAACCACTGAAACTCAAATATCATACATCATTGTTTCAATGTTCCTTGACCCTTCTTAGTAAAGGTTATTTTGTCTTAGTTTCTTCTTTCTTCCTTAGGCTCCCTTCTGTTGCTACATTTGGGGCAAGAAATGGAGACATTGCTTCCTCCTGAAACTTTGAGCCAAACTCTTCACATACTCCTTCCTTTCTGGGAAACAAAGGAAAATCTCTACTAATGTGTTATTCAGAGAAATTTTGCCCACTTCTGGCTTCAAACTCTCCCATCCAGACCAGGCCTTATTATCAAGTAGCCGAAATACAGACCAATAAAGGGAAAACTCAGACATTCATATCAACGGTTAGCTCTGAGGTTCTTGTATCTGATACATTAACCCAGGTTAATATGTAAGTGATGGCAAAGAATCCAATGTAGTAATGTGACTTGTCTTCTTCTTCTTTTTTTTTTTTTTAAAGATGGAATTATCTTCTAAGTTTCAGAGGTAGCTTAACAACTAAATGGGGCTGAAAACTGCTTTTCTTGGTTTCTTTTCTTTTAAATGATTCTCTTTGTTGCAGGATCTTACACATTTATTCCATGGCTTCTCAGCTTTAAAAGGGGAAGTGCCCTAGAAGAAAAAGAGAATAAAATATTGGTCAAAGAAACTGGTTACTTTTTTATATATGGTCAGGTAGGTCCAAACCCTAACTCTGGTTTTACCGTCCAAAGCCTCCTATTTTGTGTTCATTTCTGACAAAGTGTTTTGGTTTGTTTCTCAGGTTTTATACACTGATAAGATCTATTCCATGGGACATCTAATTCAGAGGAAAAAAGTCCGTGTCTTTGGGGATGAATTGAGTCTGGTGACTTTGTTTCGATGTATTCAAAATATGCCTGAAACACAACCCAATAATTCCTGCTATTCAGCTGGTAAATAATATTTCTCAGACCCTGCTAATTGTAAAATGAAGAGAGTTTGATGAAAACTCTGACCTGCAGAATGTGAAAATGAAAAGATGGTGCCCTAAAATACAAATAGACAGACATTCCTCAATATATTGTGTTTTCAAAATCTTGAATGATAAGCTAGGCTGTTTTAATTGAAAAAAGATGGAATTATTACTGTTATTACATTTTGTGTACATTTAGAAAGAGAAGCAACTTCCTAGCATTCTACATTGAGAAAAATTCTGATGTATTTTCTTTAATCCTTAATAACAGCAATAATAATATCTAAAAACTATAAAGTGATTACCACTTGCCAGGCACTCTTTCCTGCATTTTATATATGTGTACTTATTTAATCTTCCCATTTTAGGGAGTCAGAATCTAGACACAGAGAGACAACATAACTCGTCCCAGGTTACACAGCTACTAGCTTTTAGACTAGTTTAGACCAGCTGGTCTGGCTCCACACTGGGAACAATGAAAAATCTTCTTGCATGCTGTGAAGGAAATGCCCCTGGCTGGGTTTGAGGGCAAGGGAAAGTTGTATAATGGCTTCTTTCTCATACAGGTGACATTTTGTGTCAATGGACACCAGACAGGTGACTTAGGAATGTGAAAGTGTAGGTGCAAACCTGCCTTTACACTCAGGAGCAGTGAGAAGCAGAGAGCAGGGCAGGTCTTACAAATTTCAGGTCTGTTTCTGCTGTAATTGCCAACATTTCCTTCATTTTATAGGGTGATTTCAAATTAATCAAGGCTGGTTTTAAAGAAAAAGATTTACTTTAAAGACATTTATTTTCTCTGTTGATTTTGTAAAATCCAGAACCCTGAGGAATAGCATTCAGTTACCATGAATGTCCGTGTGACACACAGGAAAAGAGACTGGCTATGCATTTTGAAATACTGTGTTTCAAAAACATTTACAAACAAATGCCCAATAAGTCAGTTAGAAACTAAGGAAAGCTGAGTGCGGTGGCTCTCACCTGTAATCCCAGCATTTTGGGAGGCCGAGGCTGGTGGATCACGAGGTCAGGAGTTCAAGACCAGCCTGGCCAAGATGGTGAAACCCCATCTTTACTAAAAATGCAATTAGCCGGGCATGGTGGTGGGTGCCTGTAATCCCAGCTATTCGGGAGGCTGAGGCAGAGAATTGCTTAAACCTAGGAGGTGGAGGTTGCGGTGAGCCCAGATAGCACCACTGCATTCCAGCCTGGGCAACAGAGTGAGACTCCATCTCAAAAAAAAAAAAAAAAAAGGGAGGCCGGGCGCGGTGGCTCAAACCTGTAATCCCAGCACTTTGGGAGGCCGAGGCGGGTGGATCACAAGGTCAAGAGATCAAGACCATCCTGGTCAACATGGTGAAACCCCGTCTCTACTAAAAATACGAAAAATTAGCTGGGCATGGTGGCGCGTGCCTGTAATCCCAGCTACTCAGGAGGCTGAGGCAGGAGAATTGCCTGAACCCAGGAGGCAGAGGTTGCGGTAAGCCGAGATCGCGCCATTGCACTCCAGCCTGGGTAACAAGAGCGAAACTCCTTCTCAAAAAAAAAAAAAAAAAAAAAAAAGGGAAAAGAAACTAAGGAAAATGATTACTAATAATGGAAATGATGTCATTCTGGATCTGCAGACACAGACTGCACTGGTGCAGGGGATAAGGAAGTTTACTAAATTAGAATTCCCTAATTTTCATAAAGAAATGTTTCCCTTCACCCAGTGCTGACTAGTAATTTGGAGTTGCAAAATATTTGTAAATGGTGAGAGACTACTCCAATCTGTTATTTATTTATATTCATTAGTACTAAAATTTTTACAGGTAACTCTTTAAAACATTTTTCTAATCATCTGCTCCCCTTAGCACTTACTTGCTATTAGAGGACTCTGCTAGATTTCTTAAGGTGTCTTACTTTTTAAGAATAATTCACTTGACTTTAAAGATATTTTTCATTACTAGTAGCTTAGTGTCGTATATGAGTACCATCCTCTAGGAAGTTTCAGGTTTGCAATTTTAGTCTGTTTTAGGGCAAAATTATTTAAAGCTGTTTAAAACCACACATTAGAGTATGAGTGCATGTTTCCATAGTAACCTGAAAAAATTTCAATAGCCAAACTTAAGAAGTTCAACATAATACCAACGAACCACTTTTATATACAAAGCTGAATTTTATTTCTTATTCTATTAATAAAATGTTTTTTAGAAAAAGTTATACCTGATTGCTGTAATCTGGAAGAATCGAAATAGCCACGAATTTACTGTTAAAATGTTAAACAGGCTCTATAGTTGTTCACACCCACCTAATCTTTAGAGTTAATATTATTTAATGCTTTGTGAGCTACGCTCTTTGTCAAAATGTTAAGTCATTTCCAATCTCTAAAATAATGACAAGTCTATTCAACAAATAAATCTCAATCTTCTTATTCTTGCTACTTAAGGTAGTCCTGAAATGTTTTGTCAATTCTAGAAAGTGTTCACATAACTTTCACTAAGTCCTAAAATCTTTCATTTGTAGTCTGTCTTTGCCCATTAACAAAAAAGCACACCCAGTGGGGACAGAAATTTTGTCGTCCTTGATCACTACTCCATGTTTGTCTAGAAGAGTGCCTGGTACATAGTAAGTGTTCAGTAAACTCCCCCTGGCTACTGCCCAAGTAAATCTGCATGTCTTGGGCTTTAGGTTAGAATAGACGTGAACGTACATGTGTTTATGTAGGTATATTTTCACTATGCTAATGAAACAATGCAGTTATTCTAAAAACTATTAGCCATAGTATTGACAATTCAGATGACAGTTATTTTGTTAGTTTCTTTACTTCTTCTCTTCCCTTTGTTCCTCTCTTTCTTCTCCTTCATATTTTTCTACTGAAATAGTGTCAAGAATTACCTGATATATTCAATGTAGTCACTGAATGTATTTTGTTTTACTAATTCACAGATGCATTCGTCCTTGTAAATTAGTTGCACACAGAGTTATTTGTTCTTAAGTCCTAATTACATTGTTGTTTTTGATTACTAAGACAAACATGATCATCTAAGAAAACAAAAGATAAAGGATTGTGAAAAGTAATCCAGATAATGCTTAAACCCATAGTCTGGACTCTCAGGAAAAACTATATTAATGAATGTGGTATGTTAAGAAATGGTGTCTTGTTTTTTCACTTTCTAATATTTATGCTTTTTACATATCTGTTTAAAAATATGATTAGGAATATCTATATGTGTGTGTATGTGTGTAATTTTACACATTTTTATTTAAAATTATTATAAAAACTTTTCCTGTCAACAAAATTAAACAAAACTCACCTCTAATCATTTAATATTCAATCAAAAGATGTGCTGATTTACCTAATTGTATAAAAAGTCATATATTGAGCTTCTTTTGGGGCCCTCCATTTTATACAGAGTAGGTGATAAATGCATTTATATCTGTTATAACTCCTTTTGCTTGTTTATTCTAAATGTTTTTAGGCTAAAATAATTGTACAGGTCTAGAAGTCCATTGGTGTATTTTGAAGTATGAATGCCTATGTTAACATTTTTTACAAAACAAAATAGTATTATTTAAAGTTCTTTTCTGTTGTTTAACCACTTATAGTTCTTGTACATAATTTTTCCCCAGGCATAGCAAAACTAGAAGAAGGTGATGAACTCCAACTTGCAATACCACGGGAAAATGCACAAATATTACTGGATGGAGATGCCACATTTTTTGGTGCATTCAAACTGCTGTGACCTACTTATGCCATGTCTGCAGCTATTTTCCTCCCTTTCTCTGTACCTCTAAGAGGAAAGAATCTAACTGGAAATACCAAAAAGAAAAAAAAGAGTAGTTACCATAGCCTTTTCTGTGAGCTATTTGTTTTGGTTTGCTGAAACTAATCCAAAACAGGAAATTTAACAGACAACCACAGCCAAAGAGTGTCATGTGAATTACAAGAAATAGAGCTCATTTAGGGAAAGATAGAACTAGAAAGGCTTTTCACTGTAATTCCATGTTGAACAATTTAGTCATAGCTTCTTATCTTGGAGGAAGGATGCAACTCAAAGGGGCAGTAAGAAGTTTGTAAAATGTGGCACCCATAATTTACTATGGAACAAGTGCCCACATCTCTAGGACATTAAGACATTTGTGAGAAATCTCAGGATTCGTCTTCTGTTTTTATGTTAAATGCACCCCCTTCCTTTTCAGTTAACATTATAAAAAGTAAAAAATAAAAATTTTAGAAATATTGCATTAGATACATGAAAAAATAACAAAGTTTAAATATAAATGTGAAACAATTTGGCTGAAAATGCTATCCATATACTATTCAAGTCTTTTACGGTTATTTCAAGTATGCAATTTTTATCTCTAATATAATATATTACCCAGACATTTTTCACAGGAGAGAGAGAATATCCTCATTTGTTTATGCTCATGTGTATTTTCCGTAGTGAATTTCAGACAGCTTAAATGTCAGGTAATAATAATTTATGCATATAAAGCATTGATTGAAAAATAACTATAATTGTTTATAGTCAAAAACATAATCTCCAACAGAAGCTACTGTATACATTTATACTAATGTAATATAATTTCCCTTTATTTCTTGTTCTTCTGTTTCAAACTGCTGCTATTGTAGTTTACATATCCCAATCTTTAAAAATATTCCTCTTATTAGCTTTAAATTCACTTTATAGATGTTTAGTTTTAATTGAAATTATTGGTGTCCTGAATTGTGTCACATACTATGTGCTCCTTATACGTATGGTGATATCCCAAAAAACATCATCCCGGCTTTCATTTTATAAAATGCCATACTTAAGAATGCTGTAATACTTATCTTTTATAACATGTTTTTTTTTTTTTTGGCTTTGCTTGTCTTTTATGTCAACAGTTTAAAATGTTTACTTCATATAACAGTTTACATCATTCAACAGTTTACTTAAACAGTAGATAGAAAAATAGATGCCAGTCTATGAAAATGTTCCCATCAAAAAATACTTTTCAAAGATATACTTTTCAAAACAAAGAAAACAATTTAAATTTTATGTTTAAAACCTAAACTTTACACTTAAACTTTGTTTAAACTTTAAACTTAAATTTTGTTTAAATATGTGGTTCCTATAATGTTGACTTCAGTAAGTTCAGATAAAATATATTTTGCAATTCATTTTGTTTTACATTATAACTTAAAAAGAAGGAGCAATAAGTGGGGTCAGAGTTTCAATGCTAGGAGTGGTGGTTCATGATTTCTCTAGTGTTGCTGCTAATGTGGATTAACAAATAAAAACATTCATTGCCTTTTTCCTCATTGTCTGACTGAGTTTGTCTAGAAACACCCACCTTTTGAATTCTCACTGTATAATTAAATGTTATTTTTAAAATCAGGTGAAACATGATAAATTAATTTGTGTTAGGACATGATAGTTTGGAAATGTGAATATTTTCCATATCCAAAAAAGGATCTGTTCACGTCTGTATCTAACTACCTAATTTTAAACGATCTAGGAGACATTTGTTATGTTATTACCTTTAGAGTTTATCCAACAGTATGGCATATTTTGTGAGATTTTTAGTACAGTATTAACTACATATTATTGGTGCAATATCAAGTATTAATATTAAGTAGATAGATATATAATTGAGAAAAGTTAATATCAAGCCAAGTATTCTCCTCCTGAGGGGCTAAGAGGTGGTAAAACTCCACCAGGACAAGCATCTTGCAGGGATTACAAAAGGCATCATTGAGGGCAATCTTGTTGGCAGCAATTTCTTATCACAACTTGGACCCAACTCCCACTCTGCTGTAATTAGAAAGTTGTATTAGTCCGTTATTACACTGCCTATAAAGACATACTCAATATTGGGTAATTAATAAAGAAAAAGAGATTTAATGGACTCACAGATCCACATAGCTGGGGAGATCTCACAATCATGGTGGAAGGTGAAAGGCACATCTTACGTGGCAGTAGGCGAGGAGGAAATGAGAACCAAGTGGAAGAGGAAACCCCTTATAAAACCATCAGATCTTGTGAGACTTATTCACTACTACAAGAACAGTACAGGGGAAACCATTCCCATCATTCAATTATATCCCACCAGGTCCCTCCCACAACACAAGGGAATTATGGGAGCTATAATTCAAGATGAGATTTGGGTGGGGTCACAGCCAAACCATATGAAAGGTGCAATGGAGAATTCATAATCCTCTGATGATGGTGATGAAAGTAAAACAACAAGTAGAATTATAGATGTAAGAAAAGGGAGGAAATTCTTTACCATTGAGTTAATCACTTTACATGTTTTTAAAGTTTGACTTTTTGTTTTGAAATAATTTCAGACTTTGAAAACTATAATAAAAACAAGTGTAATGAAACCCCGTATATTCTCAATGTTAGCATCTTACAATACAAGTGTAAAAGTCAAGAGATTAACATTAATACAGCAGCTAATGCATAGACCCTGTGAACACTGACCACAAGCTAAGTTATAAACAAGATTCAGCACATTTTAAATAGTTGCTTTAAATCAATTATGGTCCCTCTACAGCAGCTTTAGTAACAGAAATCAGTGATTAAAACGTCAGGAAAAAATGCAGTTGGAAATTAAAGTGGAAAGAAATCACTTCTAAATAATTTATGGCTTAAACAGAAAGCATACAGAAATTAAAAAATGTTTAAAACTAGATGACAAAACACTTCACAAGAAACCTTGAAGGTGTAGAAAAGTCATTACTTATATAGAATTAAACTTAAATGCTTATATTATAAAAGAAAAATGCCTGAAAGTTATGAGCTAAGTACCAAAAACCAAAAACAAAAAAAGACAAAACAAAAGCAAGATAAAAATTAAATAAACAAAAACTTTAGCCAAAGGAAATAGAAGAAAGCAATTAAATATAAGAGCAGAAATTCAGAAACTAGAAAATGCAAGTAATAAAAAGATCAATAAGGCCAAAAAATTTATATATGAATGAATATAAATATAGAGATAAATAAATATAACAAGATACTTTTATCATAAAAATAAAATATTTTCATTTTATCATATTTAAACCTTAAGGTTTCTTGTAAAATATTTCATTATCAATGTTTTAAAAAAAAATATGGAAGGCCAGCATAAACAATATTAGAATTGAAAATGGGGACAAAAGTATAGATGCCAAAGAGAAAAATGAAAAAAAGTACTAAGAAGATTTTGTCAATAAACTTTAAAAAATTAGATGAGAGATAAATTCCTAGATAAATAGAAATTGACCAAACTGATCACTATGAAAGAGATAAAAATGAATCCATTAGAGATGTTGAAGTAGTTTACAATTTACCCCCAAAGGAATCATCAGGCCAAGACAGGAACATTTTCTCAGATACTCAAGGGGCAGACTATTTTATATCATGCAAATTATTTTAGAGAACAAGAGAATACTCCCAAATTCAACTTATATTTCCCTCTATAATCTCAAAACGAAAAGATTCTGAGGGCGGAATTATAAGTAAACATTTCAAGCCAATCTTATGAATGTAGATGCAAACATCTTAAAATATTAGTAAATCGAATTCAGCAGTATTTTAAAAAGATCATGCATAATAACAAAGTTGGATTTGATCCATATACACAAATTTATATGTATATACATATATATATGAGATATGTGATTATAATAAAATAATAAAGGAGAATATCATATGATCAAGTCAGTAAATCCAAGAAAGAAAGTACAATTCAATATTTATCTATGGTAAACACTTTCAGCAAAGTGAGAATAAAGAAAACTTTAAAAATCCCATAAACTTAGCAACCAGAACAAGATAATTATTCTGAATGATTATTACCACTTCTACATTATAATGAAGCATCTAGACATTTTAACATTTATTCACATAATATTTATTGAATTTCTAATATGCAAGGCAATATTCCTGGTAATTATTTAGTGGGAAGGAGGCAAAAAATAAAGAAGTAGAACATATAGCCTCCCCAGTCATGAGGAACTGTAAGTCCTATAAACCTCTTTCTTTTGTAAATTGCCCAGTCTCAGGTATGTCTTTAACAGCAGTGTGAAAACAGAATAATATGGGCACCTACACGTTTATTTAGTGCTGGTCCGTGAAAATTAGCTGGCAGTTCTATTAGAAGATATTAGAGAGAAGGAGTAGACGATAATAGTTAATAACCTCATGTCTTGCCCTGAATGCAGGTCTAGCATTCAAATCCTAGGGTTACATTTTTTTTCACACTGAATTTGTGGAAAAAAAATGCACATGTAAAATCATTTAGAATGGTACCTTGCATATTATATATGCTAAATGCTTTTGCTTAAAAGACTTACATGCCCTATACCACATACACAGACATAACAAGAGGAATTTGAATTTGAATTCAAAAGAAGGAAAGAGAAGTGTACTGTCTGGTTTCATTTTAGAAAGACATCTGAAAGCTAAATTGGCAGGAAAATGAGGAATGTCTGGTTTTATTATCTGGTATTGTTGTTTTGTTTTAAGATATCTTGGATAGACAGAAAAAAAATGAGAGAGAAAGACAGAGAGAGAAAGCAGAACAGCACCCTGGAATTGAGAACACCACTCTGGCCCATCCATCAGGTCCCAGAACGACACCCAGCAGTGCGCTTGATAAGGAAAACAGCTCTGACTCTATCCCAGCCCAGAGGCTACAGATTTCCAAGGACTCCAGCATGAGAGCAGAAGGCTGCCCTAAATTTAACCTTGCAGGAGTGAAAGGGAGCCAGGATTCAGGAATCGAGTGGCAGCAGCAAGAAAACAGAATAAAAGGGAGACGGATGAGGAAGAAAACGTGCAGGAGGAAGATCATTTC